ATGGAAACTAATCAAGGAGAGAAGCAACCTAGAACTAAGGAGAAACTTCCTGACAGTTAGAACAATTAACCAGTGGAACAACCTGCCTCCAGAAGCGGTGAATGCTCCAACACTGGAAGTTTTTAAGAAGAGACTGGACAGCCATTTGTCCGAAATGGTATAGGGTTTCCTGCCTGAGCAGGGGGTTGGACTAGATGAGTTCCAAGGTCCCCTCCAACTGCTACTACTACTACTACTACTACTACTACTACTACTTATTATTATTATTATTATTATTATTATTAATAATAATAATAATAATAATAATAATTGATATTAAGCTAAGCATCTATATATTTTAGCATATGACTAATCTTTTTCTGTATTTCAAAAATAGCTGGTTATACAAATGTCTCATGTATTTTTATACAGGAAGATCCCTATGTCATGTACAAGAAATCTGACAAACCTCTTTATGGTAATGATCGATTTGAAGGTTACTGCCTGGATTTATTGAAGGAGTTATCAAGTATTTTAGGCTTCATCTATGAAGTAAAACTAGTATCTGATGGAAAATATGGAGCCCAGAATGATAAAGGAGAATGGAATGGGATGGTCAAAGAACTCATAGATCACGTAAGATTGAATCATCATCTTGATCATTCATTTCAGCTTGCACTGATCACTAACAGAAACACATAAACTTACACTGATCACTAACAGAAACATATAAAATACTAAACGTCTATACCTTTTTTTCCTCTGTAGATTATAAGAACAAAATTTAAATGGAGAGATTTTTTTATTCGCAGAAACTCCTATCTTAAAAATTTACATGCAATGCAATTCTCTTACTGTGAACCAAGCTATCATGTGATACTTAGTAAAGCATGTATTTTAAGAACTCTGAACATCCTTTATCCTTAACTGCAGATATAGGAGGAAGAAATGACTGACGGCCACTTTTCTTCTTATAATTTTATTCACCTTAATGGTTTATATTCCTTGCTTCTCTAGATTAGAGATGACCAAAATGTTGTCCTTCATATCTTGCTGGACAATATTTTGTATTATCCATCAGTATTGACTGTGCTCCTTATAGTTGAGTTAACATTTGGGAAGGAGAGGCTATACTCACTCACTGAGCATAATGTTTTGTATTAGCCCATTCCTTACAACATGAACATTATGTGCTGTTAGAACACAGACAAAACAGCCAACTTATACAGTATATGGACTAGGAGGCATGAAGAACTGTAGAATCAAATCTAAGTAAATTGTAGTTTAAATTTATATTTCTATATGAAAATTTCCCTTGAAAAACATCACTTTGGAATCTCTCAGTTTCACTTTTTCTATTACACTTAATGGATTCTGCATACTCAGTGTTTACCAACAGCACTTCATCATAACCGCTCAAGAGTCACCTAAAAGGATGAAACACTAAATCACATACAGTAATCATAAAAATACATTATTTACAAAGCATCCTTGCTCTATATGTTTTTGAATAAATAAAAGGAAGATAAGTGTGCCTTCTTACAGTGATTTTCTGGAAGTAAGGCCCCTTAATGCAATGGAACTTATTGCTGAATAGACATGAATACAATAATCTTACACATTTCCATTCCTTTCTCAACAAGCTTTAATGAGAAAAACATTTTTGCTTGAAATTTATTGACCTATACCAGGGGTGTCAAACTGCCGGCCCACTGGCCGGATGCATCACACGGAAGCCGCACCCACCCCATTGCCAGCAATGGCAAAACTGTCCTGATATCTTGCACGATGTCATGTGACGTCACGAGTTTGACATGTCTGACCTCTACTGATGCTTGAGAGAGTAACTGATACAATAAAAATATGTTTATTTGTTTCTACAGTGGAAATGAGTAGATAATTCTTTAATTTGTATTCCCAGAAAGCTGACCTGGCAGTTGCTCCCCTCACTATTACCTACGTAAGAGAAAAAGTTATAGACTTTTCAAAACCATTCATGACGCTGGGAATCAGTATTTTGTACCGGAAGCCAAATGGTACAAATCCTGGGGTTTTCTCCTTTCTAAACCCTCTTTCTGCTGATATTTGGATGTATGTGCTGCTAGCCTGCCTGGGAGTCAGCTGTGTGCTCTTTGTCATTGCACGGTGAGTTTAAAAGCCCCACTTGTGTAATAGCAAAACACATCCAA